TAATAAAATTATTTAAGAAATTAATATTTTTCATCATATCGGATATAATCTTATTTTAAAACGTGTATATAAAAGTAATTTAATGTATATATTTTAAAAGTTTCCAAAAGAAGGTATGCATTAATTGCTTCAAAAAAAATTTACTACTATTTTCAATAAATGATTATTCTTATTATATAGGTATAGATTTGATAATATCCATTAATTACCCTAATTTTTTTGGTTTCTATGGATACTCGTTTTTTTTTAAATTTGAATGTCTTGTTCTATTCATTTTTTAAAAACAATTAATATTTATTTTAATATAAAAACATCTTTTTAAATTTAGATACTTCTGTAACTTATATATTAAAAATAGTTATTTTTTGTTTCAAAATTACTTGATTGTGGTAAACTAATCATTTTAGATTTTTGGATTGATAAAACATTGGAAGCAGATAATCTAAAATCTCCTCAAGCGAATAATAAAAAAAAAAAAAAAAAATCTACATTGTTTATGAAATATAAAATCACCCAGTTAGTCCATACATGTAAAGGACAATCAAATCATGTTAGAAAATAAAAAATATAACTCAAAGATTTAGGCTATTTTAGTGGGTATATATTGACCACGGAACAAACAATTTGAATTCAAGATGTAAATCTTATTCTAAAATGATCTAAAACCCATAATTTGTGGCAACTTTTAATGCTAAATGATTTTTTTAAAAATAATATAAAAAAGTTACTATTGATGGAAAATAATTAATGATGAGCAATTTGACCATATAATTGACCTAACATTTTTGATAAATGATAATTCTTTTTATATGTATATATATAGATTTTCCCACAAATAAGCATAAAAATTACTTTTTTTTTTACACTCCGATATCGTGGCTCGTTACAAAAAAATAAAAATAAATAATAATACTTCCCAAAAAGTGCTCTCTCTCTCTCTCTCTCTCTGCAACTACTCTACTACCGAAGGAAAAAAAAAAAAAAAACTGCTGTGTTCACATCAAATTGTTGAACTTGTTCACAAAACCAGCTTCTTGTTTACACTTAGCAACGCCAAAAACCTAGAGAGAGAAAGAAAGTGTGTGTGTGTGTGTGTGTGTGAGAGAGAGAGAGAGAGAGCAAGCCTGACATGGCTTCCTACGCTGCTGTAATTTCTCTTAAACAGACAATTGACCATTTTCTGAAGTCATCGCATGCTTCGATTCCTCCCCACACTCGAAAAATCCTAAAAGCAGTGTACAAGGAGGTACAGTCCGTACAGCAAGTCCTGACAAGGCTGGATATCCATGGCGGCAGCAGACGCAGCGAGAGCTTGTCAGTCTTTGATGCACAACTCACAGAGGCACTTCGTCAAACACAAGACGTGCTCGAACTCCACGCCTCCAATCAATCCGAAAACTCTTCCCTCCACCTGCGCGAGCTGAAACAGGATATTAATGCCCTGATCCAGACGATGCAAAACACGAGGAAGGACTACAGTAGAGAATTAAGCAACCTTTTGACTCAAGAAGATGACAGCGAGTATATTTTGTCGACAACCGATTTTCTTGGGTTTGAGTCGAAAATTGTTGGATTATCAGAGGAATTTCACGATCTCAGAGAGAGAGTTGTAAGACGGATTTCAGTAGACGCAGACCTTAAACATTTCTTGTTATCTGGGATGGCCGGCATCGGCAAGACCACCCTGGCCAAGAGAATCTTCCAAGACCCGTCGGTTTCAAACCTGTTCCAACTTCGCCTGTGGGTCCCCATCGGTTCTGGATACCGGTTAGAAGAAATCTTGAGGTGTATCATGTGTCAAGTGACTGGTGACTGCGAAACTCTTCCACAGAGGGGATTGGCCGAGCTTGTTTCTGGAATACTAAAAAGCAAGTCATACCTTGTCGTGTTGGATGATATATGGAGCCATCAGGTTTGGTATGAGTTGAAAAAGCTGTTCCCTGACAACAAGAAGGGGAGCCGGGTCCTGATAACAACCAGGGTGCATAAACTACTCGAAAAATCATGCATTCATCATGAGAGACTTCGCCTGCTCAATTCCGAGGAGAGCTGGTGCCTTCTTCGCGAGAGGGTGTTTGGCAATCGGGAGCCGTGCCCTCGTGAGCTTGAGCAGGCCGGGAAGAAGATTGCTGAGAATTGTGAGGGCCTTCCTCTCACAATACTCACGGTCGCTAGTCTCATAGCCGGTCAAAGAAATAAAGAGTATTGGACTGATGTAGCAGAAAATCGGAATTCAGTCTTCACGGATGCGTACGACCTGATATCGGATGTACTACTCCCGAGCTACAACCACTTGCCCCAGCATTTAAAGGCATGCTTTCTTTACATGGGTGTTTTCCCCCGAGATTACGAGATCCCTCGCTCGAAGCTCTTTCATTTGTGGTTTGCCGAGGGACTTGTACAGTCCAGTCGGTCTGAACCAGCGGAGGATTTGGTCTCTGAGTATCTGGAAGACCTTGTATCTAACAGTGTTGTCATGATCCGCCAAAAGGGCTCGCTTTCTCACCTGGACTTACCGTCATATTACGTAATCAAGACCTGTGGCCTCCATTCCGCTTTTCGCCACCTGTGCGTGAGGGAAGCTGAGGGGAACAAATTTTTCCACATTTTCAACCTTCTTGAAGATGGTTTAGTGCATAAGACGAAGGGCCACCGCCGGTTGTGTGTCCACAATAATGTCTTGCTCGGCATCAAGGATGTTTATAACTCTGTGGGGTCTGTTCCCAATGCGCGCTCTCTCCTATGCACCGGCCCATACCATCACTACCCGGTGCCAGTATGTTTCGATCGTTTAAGACTTTTGACGGTTGTCGATGCTCTCGCGCTCCGTTTTTACGAGTTCCCTTTGGAAGTATTGAAACTAGTTCAGCTGAGGTACCTTTCACTCACTGTGAACGAAAACCTACCCCCTTCGATATCTGACCTTCGTAATCTTGAGTACCTGATCGTCGCTCGACATGTGAGCATCGTGCCCTCTGAGACCCCATCATATTTACCTTTGGCGATATGGGATATGAAAGAGCTCAAGCATCTTCAGGTTAAAGGACGCGACTTGCCGAGTCCTTCTGAACGTGGTGCCTTCTTGCCGAATCTCTCGACGCTTTTGGATGTGAGTGCTCACAGCTGTACCAAAGATGTTCTTCGCAGACTCCCAAATCTATGTAAATTAAGGATTCGGGCCGAAGTTGGGTTGGATGATGCTCTTCATAATAACCTTTTTAGTTGGTTCAATCACATGTACATTTCTAGGCTGAGTCAGTTGGAATCACTTAAATTTGTGATCGCAAATCCTTTGCTCACACGCCGGTTGCCTCCACTATTTGATTCTCCTTTGAATCTTACCAAGTTGAGTTTGAGCGGGTTGGGTTACTCTTGGGACGAGATGAGTAAGATTGTCTCGTTGCCAAATCTCGAGGTACTCAAACTGCAGTGCTATGCATTCCGTGGCCCTATATGGGAGATAAAGAGAAAGGGATTCGTGGAGCTCAAGTTTCTGCTGATTGAGGATACTGATCTGGTGGACTGGAAGATTGGACGTGGAAGCTTCCAGAAGATTAGGCATCTCTGCATCAGAAACTGCTACAAGTTAGAAAAGTTCACTCCGGAATTCGGTATGGAACTAAACAGGATTGAACTGATCGACTGCGGCCCAGTGGTTGTGGCTAATGCACAGCAGATTGAAGAGCAGTTGAAGAATGAACTATTTCGTTATTCTTTCAACGTTCGAGTTCGTTCTTCCTGCGAAGCTCGGGCTGCAAAACCAGTCACTTGAATAGAAAGGTTAGTCATTTAGTTATAGTGAATTTGCAACTTGAATAGAAAGGTTAATTAAATAATTGAATATTTTGAAAATGGTAATAATATTTTTCTCTTCCCTCTCCATTGGTTGAAGAGAATGTGAATGAGAATGTGGATGAACCACATTCTTCTCTACATTGTAGACATTAATTATGTCCACCTCACCACTATATTTGTAATAACACTGTGCATTGGAAGATTAAAAGTAGATAAATTGTTAATTATGTAAATATAGAGTGTAATTTACTACAATTATATCTAAGCATTGGAGATGCTCTAAGTACTTCAAAAAAAGTGATAGTTTATAAGAAAAAATAATAAAATAGATATTCTTATTAATATTATTTAAAAGTAATAGTTGTTTATCAATATATTAAAAATGTGATAGTTTATAAGAAAAAATAATAAAATATATATTCTTATTGATATTATTTAAAAGTGATAGTTGTTTATCAATATATATATGTCCAAAGCAAATGATATCTACAATACCATAAATTTGATTTCGATTTTTGTAGGTTTCTTAAAAGTCTTATTGTAGTGATAGATTTCCCATATATTAATTTTTGAGTATTTTAAATTTATAATATTTGATGATTTAAAATATAAATTAATATATACAAATGTAATATTTTCTAAATTTATGAAATATATTTTTTAATTTTTAATTATGATATTCATTCGTATTTTTATTTACAACATCATAATAACATTTAAACTATATACATACTTTAAGTTGAGACATAATTTTTTGAATATTTTTCATATTCATTTTTTGTTGATACTCAATTTCTACATTTTTTTCAGATAATATACTAAAATGGTTCTTTAAGGTATATTAATAAACTAATACGATACCCGCGATACTACACTGATACTTAAATATATTAATATTTGTACAATAAAAAATAAAAACTATTTATACTTTTATTATAAAATTATGTATAATGAATATACAACAATTAAAAAAGTGATAACTAATTCAAATTGGCGTCCGCATTTTTCGCTAAATTTATCAAAAATAATATTTTTAAATTTTCTTTTTAAAAATTATATATGTATAAAACAAATATTATTTACAACTCCATATATTTGATTGATTTTTTTTTTTAAAATATTTATTATATTGTGATTATATTCTATATTTATAGAGTCGGTGTCTCTCGTTTACTAATTGTCTAAGCTCTTAAATCTTATATAATTTAATTATTGAGAATATTAATTTATACCGAAATATAATATTTATAAATATATGAAACACAAAATTATTCTATTATATTTAATTATGACATCGATTATATTTTAAATACCATAATAACTTCTAGTTCCTTATATAATATATTATAATTGCCAAACAATATTTTATGTAATATTTATTTTCTATTTTATCCAAAATCTATGGAGAAAATATTTAATTATTTGTTTATGGCGATTTTTATTTTTTTAATAAAAAAATTTATACTTTTATTTGATAATAATTTTTTTCTTATAAAGATAGATGAATTATTTTGTATTTTATATATGCAATATGGATGTCAGAAACTGAAGATCATTAAAATATAATTATTTTAATATATTATAAATAAAAAATAAAATATAAATAAAAATGTTATAATGTTTTCTATATATAAAGGAATATTAATTTATGATAATTAATATATGAATTAAATAAGAAAATGTAAGAATGGTATATAGTAACTTAAAAAAAAAAATCTAAAATAGTTTATGGTAATTCCCAAACCTACTAGTCAAAAGTCAAAACCAAACCTGTACATTTGCCAATACGAAACATGGATTTATGACAAATAAGTTTACGAAACACACGAGGCTGCCACTTAGGCTCAACGCATTCGATAGTTATATATAGAGGCGATACTGAAATTTATATTGAATGTAATGTATATTTTTTTTTGTTGTGCAAGAAAAGGAGGCTACGCAGAGCCTAGACTAGAACCGAGCGAGAATATGACACGCCGACCTTGTCATGATGTAACCAAACACTCGCCCCTGACGGAGGGCTCGCCAACCGTTGAATGAAATCTATATTGAAAGAAGTTGATGGAATAATGTAAAATAGTAAATTTGATTTTGTAATTAAATAAGTTGACTTTCTATTAAAGGAAATATAGTAAAAAATATGTTATATATATATATAATTAAATTATACCTACTTGTTGCAAATTGTGCAATCCAATTAATAGCACAATTTTCTATATACAAAGTGGTATCAAATCTGAAAATTGTTGTGATAAATATCGTAATAAAAAATTGATTCTTTATATTAATTAATCACTATAATTTCTTATTGTTTTGGTAACCAACCATACAACATATCTTCAAAAAATGTCTATTAAATATATTTCGTTTTGAAAAACTGTTATTTAAATATGCACGATAAGATTGCAAATATATTTAAAAAATAAAAAAAAAATCAATTATGGAAATTTTGTTGTGGTATTTAACACAATGTTACAATTGAGTTTTATTTATTGACATTAATAACAAATCATTATGATTTCTTATTCATTTGGTAACCAACCATATACCAAAATATTTTGTATCGTATCTTCAAAAATCATTTAATCGAGAGGATTAATTTTGAATTCTTCAATAACTAAGGGGGTGATTGTTTATGGATTGGACTAGTTTTTATTTGGTTTATTTTTTAACTATAGTTAATTTTGTAAAAAAGTGATATGATTAGTTGTTAGTGAATATATTAAAATAATATTTAAATAAAATAATTAAAGTTGATTTGATGTAAAGTAGTAGAAAAATGATTAGAAGTGATAGTTAGTTAGAATTATGTCAGTTGGTGAATAGTAAACTAAAGTTGATGTGATGGGTAAGAATGATTGGTTGATATTATTTAATTATATTGATAATATTGATGATAGTGGAGTTGAGGATAGTTGGAACAAGAATGGATAACAAACTAATAATTCTCTCAAGTAGGAGCTGAAATTCTCTCAAGTGGGAGCTGAAATTCCTTCGGTGAAGGCTTCAATCTTCGATTTTTTTGGGTTTTCTCGTTGCTATTGTGTTGTTTCGGTGTTCGCAGTGGATTGTTTCAGGTAGGGGGTTCTTCTTCTAGGGTTAGTGGTATAGGGGTTTCACCTCTTGGTGGCTGGTGTCTGGAATAGCCGAGTGGAGGGTATCTTCTTACTATGGCGGATAAATCTTCGGGGGGTAGTTCGTGTGGGGCCATGGATGAGGGTATGTTGCGGAAACTCTAAGCTATATCTCTTTCAGCAAAAGAAGCGGGGGGGAGTGGAGCTCAAAACGACAGACATTAAAGCGAGCGAGGAGGACTGTGAAATGAGTCTGTTTGGGAAGGTTTTGGGTGACAGGAAAGCGGGCATACTGGGGATTAAAAGAACCATGACAGCTATATGGAAACTTCAGGCGCCCATGGAAGTTAAAGAACTCAACTCTAACTTCTTCCAATTCATATTTAATTCTTCTGAAGATAAAAATAAGGTGGTAGCTGGTCATAATTGGCTGTTTGAAAACCAATATCCGATCCTGAAGGAGTGGTTCCCTGGGTTACACCATAATCATAAATGTTTCGAGGAAATCACTCTCTGGGTCCAGGTTATAAATGTTCCTCTTAACTGGATGAGCACGGATGTTGGTCTTAAAGTGGGGCAGATTTTCTCTAGTGTTAAAAATGTTGTTATCTGTAAGCTTGGCGGAGAAGCTGGGAGTTTCCTCAAGCTTCTGGTAACTCTTAACATTAATGACCCTATTCCCAGATGTACATCTATCAAGTTGGGTGAGCAAAAGGTGCTGGTAGCCTTCCGATATGAACGTCTTGTTAATTTGTGTTATTACTGCGGGATGTTTGGGCATTTGGATAGGGGATGTGCCAGGAGATTGGAGGATATTGCGAGAAAGACGGTAGCTGAGGGACAATTTGGAGAATGGCTCAGAGCTAATGAGACTCTTGCAAGGGGGAGATACAGCCAGTCAGATAGTTCTGGGGTGAAAACAAATACTCAATTTCACAACTCCAATCAAGATTCTTGGGAGCCTGTTACTGCTGATAAGATTCCTGTGGACGCAAATGAAGAGAGACAGGGTGAATGTTCTAACCGACAACAGGTCAATCCAATTCCTCTGAGGAGCATTGAATCAGAGGAAGGAGAGCAGTTGGCCGTGGATGTTGTTAGGCATGAAGGTGTTCCTCCTGAGAATCAAATTGCTATCCATTCTACAGATAGTTTCATGGACACCGAAGTTCCAGTCAAAGTGGATGAGCGCATTTTAAAGGAGGCATCCATTGGCAAAGGAGGTAAATTGTCTGGGAAGAGGACCACATCTCAATGGAAGAGGAGAGTAGCTACTAATAGGAGACTTCTGAGGATTGATGATTCTCTCAAGGGGGGCTTACAATGTGGTGAGCTAAAAAGGAGCAGAGACCTTATTATTTATGAAGATGAGGAGAAAAATTCTGATGAGCCACTGTTGGACAAAAGACAGAAGATAGAGGGTAGAAATGCTAAGGTGGAGAAGGCCAGCCTCAAGTGGCCCCGAAGTGATCAATGAAGGCTATGGTGTGGAACTGTAGAGGACTGAGTGGGCCCTCTACAGTTTCCCAGATTAAGGATTCTAGAAGAATCCACCACCCAAATGTAATTTTCTTTCAGAAACCAAAAAATCCAAAGCTTTTTCTCAAACAGTATGCAGAAAATTAGGGTATCAAGATAGATGGCATCTGGAAAAGCCTGTGGGTACCAAGGGAGGCTTGCTGGTTATGTGGGACTCAAATACTGAAGTTAAACAGTTGGTGAGTACTGATTTTTGCATTCAAATGGAGATGAGGGGAGTTGGAATGACAGACTGCTATTGGATGATCTTTATTTATCTCAGCACTGAGAGGTGTATCAGGGTGATTCAATGGCAATATCTGGAAAATAGTAGGAATCTTTGGGGGGGATTGCTGGTTGGTGGCTGGTGATTGGAATGACATCT